CTTGCTAGTGACGTTTTCCCGCGGAGAAACGCGAATCCTCGGACGTCGCTGTCATCACACAGACGTGGATGACTCTCTTCCCTTCGGGAGACATCCGCTGCCCCATCGCCGTGTTGGATGACACTTACGGCGGTACGACGCGGTGCGAACTTTGCTTTCTCGGGCTGCGCTCGGAGCTCCTCGCGAAATATCGAGGGCTTGCTGATCAAGTCGAGTGAACGCCCCACGAAGTTACTTAACGGATAAGTCAAGTTAATCCCGAAAGCGTTTACCCGGACGAGTAACCCGGGCTCTCGCTGAAATTGCGCCGAGTTGTCGGTTGGCTTTGGCGTGTATTCGGCTTGCGCCGGGTGCATGTGTGCGTGTGCACACGTATACGGTCTCGGCGAAGCGATAGCTCGCCGGCGCGAGAAGGACGCGTGCGGCTTCTTCGCTCTTCGCGTTAATCGCCAAGTATCATCGATCTCGTCGGCTGAGAGCGACTGAGAGTGCAACTCCACGTGGGGCGATTACGCATCGCGATCTGTCTGCGCCGCTTCTCGCGGTTCAAGATCGCATGGTGCGCGGAAAATTGCGGGCATACATCCGCTCATTCACAGAATCGCGCGCGTCGAGACGACGCACAGTGAACGCACAGATGACATTTTTTGGTTGAAAATTCTCTGGAGACCTGAATTTCCAACCGATCGTCGACACCAATGGATGAGCTTGATCCTGAATAAATTCCGAAGAGATTTGTCCAGCCGAAATTTTGAAAAAATTATCGCTCCAGGGTTCATGGGTTTAGTCTTAGGGTTTGTCCTAAAAGTTCATCGTTTAAAGTACAGTGTCTTGGGTTCGACCTCAATGGGCCTATGGATACTAAATGCGAGACCCCAGAACTTATAATCACCTTTTAGAAAACTCAGAATTTCAAAGCTCATCATTTCAGTCCACATTAAGAAGGAATTAAGCCATATGGACCTAATAAGTAAAAACATAGAGAACATTGTCATTCAGCATTTCTAGGCTCGAACTTAATGTTTTAGCTGAATATCCAACGTCGAGGTTCTCGAGCTATGACTAGATTGGGTTCTTGGACTATTTGGGGCTCTTAATATATACGGCTTCATGCATTCACGAGCTAAAAAGTTCTCGGATCGATAGATTCCTAGATTTCCTAAATTGATGGGTTTAAGACTCAAAATCCCTCGGTTTTGTGCTCAACGGGTCTATATTTGATTTTTTGTTTTTGTATTTTGGGCATATGAGTTTTAGGTTAATGGATTTCTGCTTCAAGATCGATAAATCCCGAGGTGTCTGTTTCATAGCTTCAATCCGCTGAATACGCTATTAGATAGAAATAAGTGTGGAAGAATGAGTATTTCACAAGTTTCTCACGTTTAACGATAAGTTTTCCTCTTTTGGGGCTAGTAATTCGAGAAAAACCTTTTTTTTTATTTTGGCAAGACAGATCCCTTCGGAATTTATTCAGGATCAACCTCATCCATTGGTGTCGACGATCGGTTGGAAATTCAGGTCTCTCGAGAATTTTCAACCAAAGAATGTCATCTGGTCCCACTGTGTGACGTAGCCACGAACTGCCTGCTCTCTCGCGAATCTGCATCCGCTAGCTGTTCACGTGCGTAACACACTTTCCGTGCGCACTTTCCTTCCACGGGAGCGACGCACTTATGTAACCGGTCGCGTCAGATGCGCATAAGTGCGTTTCTCGCTCGCGTATCTCGGCCACGTAATAAGTAATGGAGCGTGTCAGCGATCGCGCTCGCGTCGATTGGAAAACCGCGTCGGCCAAAGCCAAAGACTTTCCATCGCAAACGCGGGAAGAAGCAGGCCGGGCACGAAGGGCCATAGGATCCGCTTACATGTCTCTCTCTCTCTCTCTCTCTCTCTACCCATCTCCCTCCCTCCCTTTGTTTCTCCGCTAATGATGCTGGGAAACTTCGGCTGTGCGAAGTTCGGCCGTAATTCGCGGTGAAAATTAGCCGACTCCTCTGTCGAATCTGTTTTCCTCCTCAGCCCCATGCGTCCTCCTCCTCTTCCTCCGTGTCTTCCTCCTCCTATCTCTCTTCCAACTCTTCTCGTTTTCCCGACGTACGTCAGAGACAAAGTCGAACGATAGAACTTCTGTCGCCCCCGAATCGAGCTTTTCGAAAGCCGTAACTGTAGTACATCTACCTGCAGTACATCTTCAGACTTCTCGTAGTTTCTAACATTTAAGCCGCACGTGCGCGCAAGAAATCGAGAGAGAGAGAGAGAGAGAGAGAGAGAGAGAGAGAGAGAGAGAGAGAAGGGGGGAAGGATGAAAGAGAAATGAGAGACAGGGAGCTTAAACAAATTTCAAGTCGTAGATTCAGGAGTGCAGTTGGCAGTGCAGATGGCTACTTTACTCCGACTCCTCCGTGAGATTTAATTTCCTTCGGAATATTTCCATTAATTCAACCTGCGTTTGTACCGCCGACGTAAGGCGTATAGTCGTAATAGCGCTACCGACTATTAGTCTCCTGCGAGCGCATATGAAAGATTCATCGGAAAAGTTCCCTCGCCGCGCAACGGCGATATATCGTTTAATCCTTCGCTGCATAGTGGCCCTCCCAGAGTGCCACTTTTCATCCAAGCTTGTTTGTCCAATCATTTAAATTTTTCACATATTTCTTTAGCATATTGTTGGATTACTAAAATGTCCCTCTAACTAGTACGTCAACTTTTAGAGTCATTTCAAATAAGTAATTTGTTATCAATAAGCATATATCGTGAACAAAACTATCGTTTTCAGAGAATAAATTCGTTTACATGAAATTTTAAACAATAACATGTACTTCAAAATCATTATCTGGGGGTTTTTGGGGTCGCTGAATACAAATTCGGAGTGAAAAATACAAAATTCAAAATGACGGAGCCAATTTGCTTGAAACTTGTTACTCGGGGATTTTTGAAGTCGCTGAATACGAATCCGGTGTAAAAATATAAAATTCAAAATGACGAATCTCATATAGCGAATATAATTATAGAAATGAAAGCAGTTTCGCTATAACTGACTGCGCTTGAGAACCGGACAACTTGACCGGTATCAATCGAACCGTGTCGTATATATCCATCATTCTCTCGAATTTTCGATAACGAATTTGTAATTAGCAACCTCGAAAGCCCCGAAATAGCACATTTCAAGCGAATTCGGCTGATTTTGAAAAGTTTGGATCCGCCATTTCGAATTTTGTATCTTTCACATTGGATTTGTATTCAGCGACCTTAAAAGCTCCCGAGTAACAAGTTTCACGAAATTAGATTCATTAGAAAAAAACGTACAACAGAGGATTAAGCACACGCGCGAACGGCGACCTTTGTTCGCGCGGAACGAGGAAATTTCCGTCGCCGCGCGGTTATTTGGAATTTACCGGGCCGGCGACACTTTTCAGAATTATTGTCGCCACGCGATCGCAATCGCGCTCGCTCTTTGTTTACAGCCCGCTGCGCGAGTTATGAGTGCGGTCGTAATTAATTACCGTTACGTTAAACCTCGTCACGGGGGCGCGCGTTTAATCACGTCGTATTTCTCCTTTGCGCGCGCCCGCGTCGCCTGTATCGAATTAAAAAGGATCCAAATTTACAAGAGAGACGGGCGATGCATGGGGATTACTCGGGAAAATGAACCCTCTCGTTTCGTGTTTTGTGTTTCCCGCGCTTTGCGTTTCGCGTTACGTAGCGAGCGATTGCAGAATTTCCGCGTGTTGGCAATTGCATCTTGCCATTTCTTCTTTTCGCATCTTTTCGAACGTAATTCGAACGTATTTCGAATATATAATTATGTCTTTCCTCCTCTTCTCTCGCTCTCTCTCTCTCTCTCTCTCTCTCTCTCTCTCTCTCTCTCTCTCTCTCTCTCTCTCTCTCTCTCTCTCTCTCTCTCTCTCTCTCTCTCTCTCTCTCTTTCTCTCTCTCTCTCTCTCTCTATCTTTCTCTTTCTCGTGCACAGTTCCACGTTTGTTTATCAAAATAAAACGTGCATTACGCAAAATGTGCGACTGCCTGCCGCGGTTATTAACGCGGTCGTTGATATCGACCAGCGCAGAGCGATCTTCCGTCTACCCCATCACACGTAAATTTAATGCCAGGAAGTCGAAAACGCGCCTCGTAAAAAGCCTGAATAAAATGGCAGCGTGTAGCGTTGCGTCGCGTCGAGTCGTTTAAAGTTTTCGGCAGGCAATTTCAACTCGGATCGTTAACGTGTGGCCCGTGGACGCTTCGGAATATCGCGTCCTTCGTGGAACAGACTCGCTCGTCGTCGATGTGGAGAATTGCACGCGTCGTTTAGTTTGATATCCGCGAATTGTTCTCCCTCCCTCCCTTTCTACCTCGAAGCGACACGCGCCTGGAAATGCTCGCCACGTCGGGCAAAGTTGCGTTTAAATTAACTGCAGCGTCGAGACGCATCGATCTGCGCGCGAGAAATCGACTGCTCTCTCGGTTTGCTGTATCTCGAGGTCCCTCTTCAATATCGCAGCAATATCAACTTTGATGTTCACGAATCCGAGCCGGAGAAAGAGGTGGGGAGGGGGGGGGGAGAGCAGACGAGGGAGGAGGGGAAGTATAACGGCGTTTACCGAAAGCGCGATGAGTAAGCGAGTTCCGCCGTAGCGTCGTGTCCCAGAATCAAGTTTTCCAAGTCGCGCCGTTAGGTGACCCAAGTGCTTGTCTCACTCGGAAACTCGCATGAATAATTTTTTCCTAGCGCTGCGATCGGCCGGGCCGGGGGGGCGGGGGCGGGAGCGTCATCGTCGCTCCGGCTCGCGGCGGGAAAGCGCGAGCCGGGAAACGAAAGCGGTCTGTCGTTTTCCGCGGAAATTTCTGCGGAATTGACGCTGATATCGCGGACGCCGCATGGAAGTCATATCGGCCGCGAGAGTCTACCGTGTCGGAAGAGCTCTTGTCCGGGGCGGCCGGACGGGCGGGCGGGACAATTTACGTTGCCCCGACGTCGTAAGCGGATTTTTAGATTTACTCACGAGAGCACGTAAAATTTGGGATCCCGCCAAGCGCAGTAATTGCTGGACGGCACGGGCTTCACCGTAACCACGTGAATCTTCGGGCCGCTCGATCGATAGGTCGAATTGCCCTCGCGCTCGACCCTATCGGCGCTGGCCCTTAGCATCGAGGTCAGAGATGCGCGGTCGCACGTACTCGGCAGGCAGAGACCCAAAAACACCTGACGTGTCTGGAAAGAGAATGAGACGGTATGTCGTTAATGCGTGTTCTGTATCCTCTGCGGAAGCCGCTTCGCTAATAAACCCCCGCGAGGCGGACGGGTATTTCTCCCCCCCCCCCTCTCTCTCTCTCTCTCTCTCTCTCTCTCTCTTTTTCTCGCTCCCTCTTTTTTCTCCCTCGATATCCCGGCCCGCCCGCCGGTCATCCGGGACAATGCTAATTTAACGGGAGAGAAAGGAAGATACAGCTCGTTTGGTAGAAAGGAGGAAAACTCGCGGCGGGAAAATACGCGCCGTTGAAAAACAGCCGGCGATTTTACAATGTTACTTGTACTACGCGCGCTGTTTTCGCGCTCGTGCACACTTTGCGAAAAAGCGGCGGCAAACCGGAGCCAGTTTGAGCTCATTTCCGGGACATGCGTGAGCCGGATCCGGTAATCTACGGCGGATCAAAGGATCGCGCAAATTTCGTGCGCAAAAATGCATCGGCGACGGCGAAGGCTGTTCGACAATCGCGATTTATGATCCCTGTCTGGCCGCGTCGACGTATCGATCGCGCCAGCGATTGGAACGAAGCTGTGGCCGCAGCCGCGGAAAAAAACAATATTCCAACCTTTCCGTTGACTCTCTCCTCCCCCTTCCTCTCTCACCCGTTTTGCACGCGCGTCACACTAGCGGCGGACCGACAGAGAGAGAGAGAGAGAGAGAGAGAGAGAGAGAGAGAGAGGAGAACCTCCTTTCTTTCCTTTCTGCAGCCGCGCGACATCGATCGGATTGAATTTATAGGCTAGTCTTGGCCCTCGACGCCTTTGTTCATTATTTAGCGACAACCCCGATCTTACGAGCCCTCGGAGGCAGCCGGCCGCAAGTCGCAATTTACTTCGGCAAACGCGATTAATTAATAAATAATGATATCGCCCGAATTCGGCTGGGTAATACAATTGGGTAATACAATGGTACGACAGGTGGGGGCACTTCAGTGCTTGAAACGGAACTAACCGCAAGACAAGGGGGGGAGAGAGAGAGAGAGAGAGAGAGAAAGAGAGAGAGAGAGAAAGAGAGAGGAAGATAACATTGGGATTCAAGTCAGGGTAATCTTATTTGTGCGATTGCCGAAACTTCTATCCCTAGCGGACGTTTAACCACTCCGCCAGCTGTTGCGAGTCTGCCGACTTGACAAAAACGACCGTCGGCTCGGACGCGTACGGTGTCCCCTCTCTCTCTCTCTCTCTCTCTCTCTCTCTCGGTGTCTTTTCTCGATGAATTGAAACGACGGGCGAATTATTCGCGCGTCTTGGCGAGTCTGGCAGCTCGTGGAGGTTGACAAACTCTTCGCTTCACGAAGAGATATCTGATAAAAAGTATTGATAATCATCGTAAGGTAAATGTCCTAGAAAATTACCGGACGTTTAAGCGTAGGTCGTCACAAAAAATGCAATATATAATATTAAGAATAGTTTTGACATAAATATTTGCATTTATTTGAAAATTTAAGATTCTCTCAAGTAGAGAAAAATGTATATATATATATATATATATATGGTATATACAAAAAAGAATATATATATATTATTAATGTAAAATAATAATATATAATTAGTGTGAAATATTTACACAAGTAATGAAGCGCATTAATGTACCAGTGATCGGACAGTTGAAATAGGTTTTGGTCCAATGTTCGGATATAATTTGTCCCAATGTCTGACCGCAATTAGAAAATTAGTATGTGGGTAACGGGGAATAATATAAATATATATATTATCTTTTGATGAATTTATTTTGATGAACGATTGGCCATTATTTTGCCAAACCATAGGTACGTACTTATTTAATTAATTTTTATTTTAATACAAAAGTATCAAATTGGGTATATACTTTTTCCCAACTCCTCCAACCGTCAAGTATTGGAGTTTTTCCCACAATAATTATTATTTCCATTATTATTAAAATAAATATTGTTAAAATAAATAGTAAATATTTTTTTTTAAGTGGTCGAATACCGGGACGTGTCCGGCCATTGAGACGTTTACCTTACATCGAAATTTTCGGCTTCGGTGTGAATATATTTTAGATACGCCAGTACATACAGTACGTAGAGAATTTTTATTGAATAACACACTATACCCGCATTATCCGATACAAATTCTCTCCGTGTGTACTTTTCAGTCTGCGCGTCTTTCCGACGTTTTCTCGATTTTCGCGGCAAGAGGCATGCTCATCTCCTCGCGAGCAACTGGACGAAGCGCGAAGAGCTAGTTGAGCGCGCTCGCGACAATGGATTTGCGCAACGGTCATCTTGTGAGCATCAATCTTACGCGTGCGACGAAGCGACTAATAAAGACCGGCAATGTATTCGCGGTCGTTGCGGACGATCGCGCGCGTGCCTCGTCAATCTCGCGCGGCTGTCGTCATGGCGGCGCGCGGGACTCCGTCAGATATCCGCTTTGACAGATATCCAATGATATACAGAAACAAATGGTTCGTGAATAATCCGATGGACGTGTGTGGCTAACGCGCCATGTCGTCTCCCGCGAGCGCGCGCGTTTAATTAATTCTCTCGCCGGTGCATAATCGCACGCGGCGCGCCGCGAGTTCTCTGCCGGGATGATGAAACTCTACTCTCGTCGGGCTAAATCGGCAGTAATCTGCAAAATGCGCGGTAATTCGCGCCTCGCTCGGCGCTTCTATTATGCGCCACGTAGCGATCCGTGTGTGAGGGACGAATCGCGACGACAGCGACGCAGCTAAGTGTAGCGATCGCGATGGGAGTGAAATATATTCGGGACTGTCGCTTGATTCGAGCGGCGAGAGAAGCCAGCAGCTTGAGGAATCAGCGGCGGCAGTAGCAAACCGGAACGAGTGAAATCTGACTTTTATCATCGTCGCTAAAATGCACGAACGCGAGGTAAAAGTAGCAGCGTCGGGACAAGTTTCCGAAAACGGGAAAGCGTGTAAAACGCCACGACAAACATTTCAACGCGTATGTTTTTCATACGTGTGCATACGCACACTCCGTTTGTGCAAATTTAAATATTCATATCTACGAAGCGGAGCAAGAAGAATGTCCAGGGCTGGAGATTGGCGCGACAGCGGTACTTTTACCCAAAGCACCCGAGTCGCGCGACGATTGATGAGCCGCGTCGAGAGCACAAGACGGCGAAATTCGTCAGGCCCGCGCACGCAGAAGAAAAGAGGTCAGTTCATGCGACCGAGGCAGGGAGCAGGTGACAGCTCTCGAGGAGCGATATCTGTGTTGCCGCTCAGTTATACCGGGAATATTCGTCTCGACACACTCGGCTGTGTGAAAACTCGCGCGAGATAAGCGAGGACGGTCGACCGAGCAGAAACCTCCCCCCCCGCCCCCCCCCGCCGGGCAATCATTCAGTCGCACCGCCGACTTTTCGCGGTCTGCGAATTCGCGCATTTTCCCTCGGCGCATACACGCGTCTACAGTCGGCGGACGCGCGCGAGTGCCGTCTCTCTCTCTCTCTCTCTCTCTCTCTCGCCTGACGGAGCCAGACTCTCTCGTCGTCTCGCGGAAGAGGGTAGTTTGGCGACTCACCGAAAAATCGAGCTCCTTCGGCAACGTTAGGTACAGCCTCGCGACGTGAAATCTCAAGGGAAAGGGTGGCTCCCCTGTTCCCGGCCTCTCTTCGCCCTCCGCCTCGTCGTCGTCGTCGTCAATTTCCCTCGTATTTTTTCCGTGGGCGACATTGAGCTCCCTGCAGAGGATACTCGAGCCTAGCCAGAAGCCGTTACCAAAATGGAATTGCGAGGAGTAGCGGCCGCTCGCGTCTGACACTGGGAAGAAAAGGCCAAAGTGAAACGGCTGAAAAATAATGTCGGTCATCGGGACGGAACGAAAGGGAAGATAAAGCGTCGGTCTCTTTCCCGCCGGCTCGCGCCGGCGACGACCGTAGGCTTTGCCGACTGTAAAACACGACGACGAATTCGCCGAGACACACGTCGCGTGCGACACGCGAACGCCCACGCTTCTCCTGGGAAAGCGTACTCCCGCGAGGTCGCGAGACGGACGCCGCGCGGCTCGTTACGGCCCGCCGTATCTGCATCTGTCGTGCGAGCGACGTCCGTCGTAACGATGATCGGCGAAGAATTGGCTCGACTCGCACCGTTACGAATACGACGATGCCTCGCGACAGCCAATCGGAAGCGTGAGAGGTACGGAGACCGCGTCTTGTCGTTAGCGTAACAATTTGTACGCGCTTTACCCGATGAAGCTCGGCAGGCAGCCGACGTCCGATGGGAGAACGCGTCTCTCGAAAGGCAAGTTCTCTCTCATTGGATATCGGCCATATTCCCGATGAAATCGTGTGCAAACTGTTGTGCAATCGTGCGAATCGTGGACGGAAAGCTACGGTCGGCAATTTTTCGCGCGTCTTTCGCAAACGGGTGGGTGGGAGTGCCATTCGGCAGGACCCGAGAAACCGTCGCGGAAACTTCCTCCCTGCTTTGAGGTCATATCGAGGTCACTCTTGTGACGGTCCACGTCGAGCCGACTTTTGCGGCCGTCGCCGCGTATGCTTGCAACTGACACTGCGAATGAATGTAAGAGATACACTTTACGCAATTACTCCGCGAGCTGCGATTTTCCTCGCCGTTGCCTGTTCGTTCATCACTCCCGTCGTCGTCGTCGTCGTTTTACAGCCGTCTGCGCGCTAAAGTTTCATCGTCTCGAGAGTTCCCCGAAAGCGCCGATCGCACGGCTGCGCCGTCGGCGGAGGGTTCATTGTCAGTTACGTAAAGCGGCTCGCGCTGACCGCGAGAGTAGAAAGCGCGGTCGGAGAGGCCGCGTGCGGCCACACGCCGTGCCGGATCGTCGACGGACGCGGCCGATTTTCCGCCGCGCCGAAACCCGAGAGCCGCTGACGCGGCTACGGAGATAGATGGACGAATCGATTGATCAACCCTTTATATCCTGAATTAATTTACCCAAGACTTTCTTACTAAATTTTTGTGTAATAAATGGCTCTTGGCATATCATTAATATTATTAATATATTGATAAAATTGCATAAAGTTGCGATAAAATGCATAAAATTATTAATAGGAGGATTGATAAGAAAATAAATTCCGCAACAATTTAATGATTTTAAGGTGTACTACTTGTAAGCATCGACAAGAATGCAAGGCAAGACAGAAGAAAATGTTCAAAAAGTTCAAAAGTCTAATACTAATTTTTCTTTCGACGAATAGTTAGCGAGATATCGTAAGTAAGTTAAATGTTGAAAAAGTTACCAAGTTTTCCTGAAATATTTCAAAAAATATTAGGCAAATAAAGAAATGTTTCAGAGACAAAAGTTGTTAAATTGTTAATTAGAGGTAGAAAAAGAAGATATAATAAAAAATTGGGCTTTCTATTAAAAAAAAAAAATTAAGTTGACCTTCAACTGACCTTGAAAATGCCCTCCAAATAAAAAAACTGATAATGCCATTCTCTTTCCCCTTCGAAATCATGGGAAATGTGTTTTAGCCTTTTTTAATATCTTTCATAGTTTTCGAGATTTTTTAATGCGAAAGTTAAAATGGGACACCCTGTGATATGAGCGGTACTTTTAAGTACCGTCAGGATATAAAAGGTTAAACTCATGGGATGTGATAGCCTTTCAGATATACATGAAGCCAAGATGAATATGATTGGACGCGCTTTGCTCTGCGGTGAAAAGCGAAGAAACAAGCAGAATTATAGAGCATGCGATTTAAAAGCAAGGAATACAGACGACAGAAACGGTCCAGAAGAGTCCTCGGCTTTCTCAGGAAGAGAGAAGGGGGAGGGGAGAAGAGAGCCGGCGGGCGATTAGGCGGATTTTTCGCGAGCAACGTATCGGCAGGCAGCCCCGTCGATCGATCGCTCTCGAGTCGCGCGGAGGACGCGATATATCGAAGATGCTTCCATCGGACGGCTTCCCGCCGGCGAACGGCGAAAGTTCGCTCGCGACACTCGTCGTGATTTCAATCTGCGCCCGTGCTCGCGTGATGTATCGCAGCCTCTCGCGGTGAGAGAGAACAGGCATGACGGCACATACATGTAGCCGCAGCGCGGCCGCGCGATATTGTTCGGCCGCTGTAAAAGCCGCGGCTTCATCGCCGTTGGAATTTGCGACAATGGCGTAACGCGTCCGACTGATTAATGGTATAGCCCGGCTCTACGAATATAATGACTTGGTGTTACGTTATAATAGCCGCGAGATCGACCGACGCGGCGGCGAAAGGGCTTGCACAATGCGTCCCGCGCGGCGCGTTTAGAAACAACCTCGCCGAGGTTGTCGCGGCCGCGCGAAATCGAGTCGATGCGACTTTTTCCCACCGGCTGCCCGATAATTGCCCAAGTTTCGTTAATTACCGTACCGCGCGGACGGACTCGCATCCGCCAATAATCCCGGACGCATTTTTCTCTCCGCGAATCGTCGGCGCGCGATCGTCGCCCTTCGAAAGAACCTCCGCGAAAAGTGCCCGTTTCTCAGTCCCCGATTTTTAAATTAAATTTTATACGAAATGACAGCTCGTGGTAAGATATTAATCACAAAAAAGTTTTACATTGAGCATACGATTGGTTTCATAGATAAATATAGAGGGTCAAAGTGGCCACTACTTATTAAGGAAGTTTGACACTAATAACGTTTTATCGCACAAATTTTTGCGAAATTCAGTATCTATGGGTTCTTTGAGTTGTTTACGAATTCGATGTCAGATTAAAAAAATTCAAGATGGCGGATGTAATATAGCGGACACAATAATAGTGAAACAATTATTTACTTTTATCAGAACTGTTACGTTGTGGTTTTTTTCGGCTAGCTGATTGCGAATTTTCTATTAGATTTACATTTACCTTTACTGCATTTACTGCAATGAAAAAGCTTCTAAATATAACAAATAAAACTATCACGTTATTCTTCATGCGTCATGTAATGTATTAGTTTGAATTTGATATTCTTTTTTATAAAAAAACAATAAAAAAAATACTTTTTCCACTCAAAAATTGTCGTTGAAAAAATTACTTTCGAAAACCTAATAGAAAATTCGCAATCAGCTAGCCAAAAAAAAACCACAACATAATAAAGTTCCAATAAAAGTAAATGATTGTTTCACTATGCGTGTACGCCATGTGTTGCACCTGCCATCTTGAATTTTTTAAATCTGACATCAGATTCATAATCAGCAACTCAAAGAACCCATAGATAGCGGATTTTGCAAAAATTCGCGCGATAAAGCGTTATTAGTGTCATACTTTTTTAGTAGATAGTGACCACTTTGACCCTCTATATCTACATCTTTGAAACCAATCGTATGCTCAACGTAAAACTGTTCTGCAATTAATGTCTCATCATGAAACTATCTTTTGGCATAAAATTCGATTCCAAAATCGAGGAAAAAACGAGCAAACGGGCAAAAAATCGACGCTTCTTGCGAAGGTTTTTTCCCTAAACGCGCCTAACGGCGTCATTATCGCGGCGCGGCGCGAGCGTGCCGTTAATAGCGTCGGCGATGAAAAATTACTTCCGACAATTAGCGCCGCTTTCTAAGTGCAATTACACGCCCCGCAAAGGGACCCCGGGCGGGGGTCCCCGGGTCCTCGAGTCCGCGCACACGCGTTGCGCGCTTCGTCCTGGAGATCAGCGGCGCGGAGACGACGAGGAGGAGGCGACGGCCGTCGCGTGTCGCGCGACTGCGATCGCAGTATTGCAATTTTCACCGCTGCGACAGCGCGCGGCAATTGGCCGCCGCGACACATCCGCCGGAGTTATTACTGCGGGCATCGATCATGCGGACGAGCCGCATGACCGGAAATTACCGTAAATCCCCGCACACCGCGGATATGACTTGGCGACGTGCGGCTGCGCATCCGGCTCGTCTCCTCCCTGCCGAATCTGTCGGCCGCTTTCCCAGCTTCGTTTTCTGTGTCACGGCCAGCGTGGCGGTCCTAATTTATCGTTGCGTCCTCGCTCGATCGTCGATCGTGTTAATTACGTGGGGAGAGGGGGGGAGGCGGAAATGAGGAAAGTTAATCATGCAAGCCGCTTGTGATTGGTAGATCGGGCTGTATACATACATCGTTCGTTAGTTTCACTGTAAAATACCGCGTCCCATGTTCCCGTCCGTATAAAATCCATTCGGATGGAAGCAAACAATGATCTCGTTGAATCAACGGTATCGTTGAACCGCGAAAGGAGCTTCCGCTTCCGAAGGAAGCGGAATCTGCACCGCGAGATGTCGTAAGGGAAATTCTGCTCAGCCCGGTTCGTTGGGTTATTAGAAGGAGAGAGAGGACGAGAGAGCGAGAGCGAGAGCAAGAGAGAAAGAGAGAGAAAGAGAGAGAGAGAGAGAGAGAGAGAGAGAGAGAGAGAGAGAGAGAGAGAGAGCGTTATTTATTAAGCGCTCTGCGGCGCGATTCTTTAACTCGTTATTAGAGCTAACGACACTTTCGTTAACTCCAATAACGAGTTAAAGAATCGCGCCGCTGCGACGGTATCCCTTCAAGCGCAAGGAAGTAAAAAATGATAGAAAAAATTTTGAGTTACACATTAGTTGAAAGAATATGCAAGGTAAGTATAAACAAGTAGTGGAATAATATAAAATAAAATACAAAAAATCATATAAGGAATAGTGGTATAAATAATAATAGATTAAAATAATTATAGAGTAATATAAAGTAATAGAGTAATAATTAGGCAGTCAGGGGGGGGGGAGTGAAGACGGTCGCCAGTACTATATTTTATACTATTATTATAGCAGGCTCATATTGGACTTCTCGACGAGGCGCTCGTATAATGCGTTTTTGAACGACTATATTGCGTTTGAACTAAGAGAGAGAGAGAGAGAGAGAGAGAGAGAGAGAGAGAGAGAGAGAGAGAGAGAGAGAGAGAAAGGAAGAGAGGCTCCAAGCAGCGCGTAGTAAATATCTGCTCATCCCTCTCTGCGCTTTTCCGACCTACGATCCGCGCGCATTTGTTCGCGGGGTAATTTGGGGGCAGGCAGAAAGAGGAAAGGCTTACTCTCAAATTCGCGCCCGTATGGAAAAGTCCTAATCCCGTGGGCAAATTATCGGGAAACTCACGTAGCGTGACGGCGTAAAAATGAAACGTAAACAAGTGTGGAAGTTTGCAGAGAGAACAAGATAATATTCCGCGATCAACATCGAGAGCTCTCTCTTTCTCTCTCTCTCTCTCTCTCTCTCTCTCTCTCTCTCTCTCTCTCTCTCTTTCTCTCTCTCTCTTTCTTTGTTCCTCTACTCAACATTCTCTCTCTTCCTCCCTTTCTCCGGCATAAATTCCAAATTGCGATAACAGCGGCGTTTTCGCATCTCATGCACCAGCGAGACGTCGCTCCGTATTATGTTAATATCTCAGCTCGTGCGACTCGCTCTTTGCGCGTCTTCGCTCTTGACTCTTCTTCTCCTGCCGAGCATCATCTTGAAAATAACAGCGACCAAAATCCATCTCGGTAATGCAACATCCGCGGGTATCACGTAAAGTAAAGTCTCGTGCATCGCCATAAAGTGTCAGGTGGTATATTCAATCAAAACCGGGAACTGGGTCAGGGCGTTTTGACCATTACGAGGGAAATTGTGAGGTTCCATGGAATAATGACGTCTTCAGCAATTCGCTCGACTGAACAACCGCGGGCCCAACCGACCGATCATAAACGCTTCCAGACTCCTTCTCCTTCCTCCTCCTCCTCCTCCTCCTCCATATTCATCAACCACACATATATTCTCGATAACGCGCGGTTAATCAGCGACTTGTCCCGAAGAGTCAGACCGGCTCATCTACCCTCCGAACGAATTTCTTTTAATCAAGCGAGCTATTGTTCGCAGTCCGCAATCACTCTTTCGCCGTGCTCGGATTCATCGCGTTAAAATTCTTCACCCCGGGACCTGTCAGAATAATAAGCTTAAATTATCCTCGACCAAGAGTTTCGAGTAATCTCTCGAAGGAATTGAAATGATCTTTGATAGTCGAGTCATGAGACTTGACCCAGTCAAGTCTTGGTCGCGTCCCAGTCAGTCGAAGCGTCCAAACGCGATGCGAAAGATGATTTGATTCCGATTTGAGCGTAACTACGCTCGCACAGAAGGGGCGAAGGGGAAGCTCGGAAGTTTGCATTTTAATCAATCGCTCACTTACTCTTCGCGGCCCAGAGTTTCCCGTCCCTCAGCGCGCCGAGGAAGCTCTCCATATCCCTCCTGCACTCGTCCCGAACTTTCCCCGGCACTCTGGCCCACCTGAGAGGATCGTAAAGATCGGCGAGCCACTGTATACTGTTGGCCGTTCTTTCGAGCTTCTCCTTCATGAAATCCACGTCGAAGTCCCGGTGCATCTCCTCGCTTCCGTCCAACGTCTTCAAGTAATTCTTCCAGTCGAGTTCCGGATTGTTTCTGCTGAAGCCGAGCGGAGACGCTCGTTTCCTCGACTCGTCCTTGTCCTCCGCGTCTTCGGTCGCGTTAAGCTCCGTCGTGGTAGCCTTGATCTTTTGCGGTCTGCTCAGCTTCAGAATGTTGGACTCCTTCTCGGCGATCGCCACGTGCACGATGCACAGCGTCACCAGCAGGCGGTTCAACGTACGCGTCATGTTCCCGTCGTTAGTCGCGTCGTCGGGACAATCACCTCTCGCGTCGGCAGAAGAGTTCGCTCGCACTTTGGGAAACAGAGAAACGACCGACTAGAATCCCGTCCAATAGAGAGACCGGGGATCTCGATCTCTCATCGGTTTCTGTCGCTGCGGTTTCCAGCGACCGTCATCTTAGCAGCTCACGATGCAACTCCTCCGCGGCGGAACAACAGTGCCGCTTTAACCGACAGGTATTTATTCGCGCGGATTCTCGAGCATGCTCCGAAAGATACGCAGGTGGTATGCGAACGATGCCGAGAACCGCTCGGGAAACCGCGCTCCCTCGTGGATGCTCGCTGGATGCTTGCTGATTTTGGCCAACGAGCCGGTAGCACGTGCTCGCTGCGGCTCGTGACGATCTAGACGAAAGCGAGCGCGGCGAAGAATCGCGGCTTGGAAATCGCCGACTCGTTACTTGCCGGAACGTCGCTTCAGCGTTCAGCGTCGTCAGCGGCGTGGACGAAAATTCGGGAGAGAAGAAATATATTCCGAATACTTTGATCGCGACACGTCAGTTCTGCCGTCTCGCACTCTCGCGAATTGTTGCTCGCTCGTCGAAATCTTCGTCGTTAAACGCGCGACGCGGCTCTCTCTCACTTTCTCTCCCTCACTCTCGAGTTCCGCTAAAATGCCGATCAGACGACGAAGAAGAGCGACGCGAGTTTCGTCGCGCGCGCGAAGCGGCTGAAGCTTCGCCGGTCCGCCCGCACGCCTGTCTTCCTTTATCACTGACTAACGAGCGCGAGGAGCGGAATCGCGGTGCGGAGAGTTCCTGCCGAGCGAGGAGGAAGGTGCCCGCACATATGAGACTAAGAATCACGCACTGAATGAAGCGAATAAAGTCCGCGGCGGCGTTCACCGGCGGATAATAGGTTCCCCTTTCTCTCGGCGATGCACTTTACCGCCGTAAATGCATTTCCTCCTCCGGGTCGCGAAGAAATGTCGTGGCGCTACCGGTTTTTCCACCGCTCCGCCGCTGGAAGACCTGGGTCGGCTCGGCCGACTCGCCGTAGTCGTGTCGATAACACCGCACGCGCCGCACCGATAACGGATCATTAGCAATACGTATCGGAGAGACGCTGTCGTTACTTAATCTCCCCCCCTTCTCTCTCTCTCTCTCTCTCTCTCCCTCCCTCCCCCTCTCTCCGCGACGAGACGCATCGATACGACACGCATGTTATTTCTCCCGTCCAGCCACTTTCATTTTTAACGAGAACGACACTTTTCACGGATCGCCGCCGGTCGACGATCGTACGATTTTCGCGACTTCGCGAAAAACTCCCTACGATCTCGGACACGCTCCATTTGCGATTTATCAATCGAACGTGGTAATTAATCGAACGGTAATAACAAAGGACGGCGGTTACGTAACCGCAATTGCAATTGGTGCTGTTGCGCCAACGGGTCGTTGGGCGCAACCACCGACACAGTGGCGGCGCTGTTTACGTAAAGGCAGCGGCGTTATTTTTCCGAAAATCTCGCCGGCATGAAGAATGCAGCTTTTAGCGCTCGCTCGCTCGCTCGCTCGCCGTCGAGCCGCGCGCGTGACGAGAATGATTTCGGACAGAGGCGTTCATGCGCGAGGCGAGAGCCTTTTTCGTTGGACTTTCCTCCGTCCATTTTTCTCCCCCTTTTTTGTATTACATTATTAGATAAACGTGCTAGAGAATGGAGCGCGTTAGAGAAAACAGACGGCGATCTGTCAGCGCGCATCGCACGCGCGCTAATTAGAGGGACGGCTAATTGGCAAAAGGATCGCATTGACTACATTCTTGGCGCGTATTAGCCGCTCGGGAGTTATTTATATGTTACTATGCGCCAGGTACCAGCTATCTACCTGTTACCGTGCGCCACGCAGAGAGAGAGAGAGAGAGAGAGAGAGAGAGAGAGAGAGAGAGAGAGAGAGAGAGAGAGGTCTTCGCCCGCGCGCGGTGCAATTATAGCCAGTCCGATAATGTTGTTATTACCTCATTTTTATCACTTAATTGTACCAGTCGTTGCGTCCACCGCGTTATCTGCAAGTCGTCGGTTCGTTAACAACGTGTTACGTCTTGCAATATGTCTCAACGCGTCAGAAATTGAAATCGCTCGGTGAGCGAGCGGCTAGCGAGAAATTTTAATATTTATATGCTCAGAAAGCGAGAGAATTCGCATAGAACGCGCAGTAATGTCGAGCGGGCGATCTCTTCCTCTTCGTCCTCCTTCTGCACGACGGTCAAATTTCAATCTCGCGAAGGTAAGAGAAAGAAAGGGAGTTTTGAAAGAAGGTCCTCGGCCACGGTGCGGGCTCGCGTACAGCTTCTTCAGTCGCCGAGGTCTTCCTCGTCTGAAATAATGGACATAATGAAGGGTGAGAATGATTGATCCCGGCGGCGGGGAGATTGGCGAGAAATAGGAACACGCCGAGTGGGCGGGAATCGACGAGACAGATGTACCGCTGTACGTATCGTGTGTTCCATATGTGTAACTGTACGTAGCGTATATTCCGTATGTACCGTATGTACCCGCATATGTACCGCATGCAGCACTTTGCGCTCCTCGTCGCAGAGAAGAGACCGGCGGAAGAGAGTCGCGCGCGACGGAGGGATGCACGACGAGGGGAATAATTTCGAGCGCACAATCATCATGCCTACGGCGATAAGCCGTCCCTACCGTGCGCGGTACGCGAGCTTTGCGCGCGACTTTTATTCTGCTCCTCGCGTCGCGGCGAGGAATCGATGAGAGAGGGCGGCCATGGCTCGTGTCTCGAATGCGGCGAGCGTAAAATACGCGGCGACGCTTCGCAAATCGGTCCTCGGCTCGAGTCGCGCGACTCCGAAAGTGCGAATATCCCCTCCCCCAGCCGCTACTCTGTTTCACAGCGGGATAAGCATAAGTCGACCCTTATCGATTATGCCGCGGCCGCGGTAACGACAAATCCGACAACTTTCTAGCGCGATGCGTCGCGTGTGCGCGTGCATGCTCGAAAGTTTATATCCGTCTCGCTCCGGAAAGTTTCGAACGCGCCGCGCCGGCCATAAACCGGCCGCACTCGGCAAATACTCTTTTAAACTCTCCATTACACCCTCCCCCGTCCCCTCTGCCGCTCCTGGGTTGCAACATTAATAATCTCCTTCGTGGCTCGCACTCGTAATACAAGCGCTATTTGAAATGTTGCGGGAGCAGCCGCGAAAAGCTTCGATCCGGCGAAAATTGAGCAATCCCCTGGTGCGTTTTACGGATTTATTTTCACTTTTATTTCACCCAGAAAAATTGTAATTTCAGAACAAGCGGAATCATCTACATACACTGCTCGGAAGAATTATGGCATGGATAATTTATTGCCGAAAATTGGCCACTTTTGACTGGCGATTACTTCGCGAAAAATTATTGTAGACCAATGATTATTCCTTCAAAATGAAGCTTGAAGTCTCTACTTTAAGAATGTATCTCCATTTTTTGCATACGATGCACCCCTACCCCTGCAAACCCTGATATCTGAGGGCATGTTTGGTATACTGAAAATTGCATGGACATGGACAATTTTTTTTCGGGGACGCCGTTTGCATCGTCATAAAGTTCAAATCTCCCCCTTCAATTTGAAAACAGAATGGAGTCGCTACAATTTTTTTTCGCCAAGTTACAGCTCTTCAAAAATATCGTTGTTTTTAGTCTTCGGCCAAGTGCGCACACATGTGTATGTGCGTCCGTGACAGAAGAGATAAGGATCCTATGGCTCGTCACTTAGTATAGTAATTATTGACTCCATTTTTTTTCCAAATTGAAGGGGAAGATTTGAACTTTATGACGGTGCAAACGGCGTCCCTGAAAAAAAATTGTCCACGGCCGTGCATTTCGTCAAACTTCGCAATTTTCAATATACCAAACATGCCCTCAGATGTCAGGGGTTACAGGGGTAGGAGTGCATCGCATGCAAGAAATGGAAATACATTCTTAAAGTAGAGGCTTCAAGCTTCATTTTGAAAAAATATTCATTAGTCTACAATAATTTTTCGCGAAGTAATCGGCAGTCAAAGCTGGCCAATTTTCGGCAATAAATTATCTATACCATATTTCTTTTGATCAGTGTATTTTAGAGAACCTTATTCTTACATATAATCTCAAGAGGATTTCTTTAAGATTAAGAGGAAAATATTATAAACGCACTATTCTTAAAGCTAGAGGGGTTATATGTTACATGTATAATGTAAATCTTATTGATTTTGATATAAACTTCCTCTTATACACAGATTATTTAATCCTCTTTTTTCAAGAGGATTATTATTTATACTCACTGTACTTTATTCTTACTGGTTATACTAGTTACTTTGAAAAAATTATTATAATGTATAGCGGAAAGTAATTTAAATATATAGATGTACTTCTGGCTCCAATTCTACACACAATAAGTATAGGCACGAATGAAATAATATTATCATAACAAATAATAATAATAAATTTCTAATCAGTTTTGTTGTGGACTTTGTAGCTATAAAGACGTTCATCATAACCAATTGTATGAAACATAGTCAAAAGAAAGAATATATTATTCAACTTCTTGCAATAAATTATAAACTGTATTTGACCAAATATGGGTAAATTATCTTCGTCATATGTTACAGCGACACACGTATCTTTTTTCAAAAAGCGTTTCAATTCTGATCCATGAGCATATAGTTATTTTTTCGTTCATGTCTGGAGGTAAAGCATGCGTGAACAAAAGAAGCCGATATTCAAATCAACATATTCCTCTTCATATAAGAGAAAAATTAATTTATATAAGAGAAAATGCTCTTGAAATAAGAGAAAAACAGTTAGAATAATATCTAATAAATTCTAAATCTTAGATGAATGGTTCACTTTAATCGCTTTATCGAAAGAGGAATTCTTTTTCTGTAAGAGGCTTCGCATAGAATATGGGAAAAGTCACTTTACAAATAGAATACTTTTTGTTAGAATACTTTTGTTCACGTTTACGTAAGGTCAACACGCGTCAAATTATTGCAAGGGACTTTTCGCGTTGCACGATTTCTCTCCCTCTCTCCCAGCTGCCGCCGGTATGCCGATCGCCGCGATCATGCACGCAAGTGCGGTTCACCGAAGCTCACAGTTTCTCCGAATCTCTCAGAAACGTCCTTCCGGGTGCTCTTCACTCTCTCATCTCCTTCCCTTTCTCGGAAACAACGTCTGCTGCAGCGAGATCCGGTTGCAGCTTATGCAACCGAGAGAGCTTTCTACGCGATCGGCCACGCGCACGCGGCTACCAACCGGTCCTCGCTCTCAGGAAGCGGGAGATCGGTCTCGAACTTTTGCTCTCCTTGCTTTCGATGCTTCGCGAAAGTATTTGCAGCGCCGGCGCGATGACATTGAGCGAACGCTTTCTTTCTTTCTTTCGCGCCTCTCTCCCTTTCTACCTCGCTCACTCTCTCCTTCTCTCTTTCTTTTCTTTTCCGTTGAAGCCGTCGATGTTGTCGTTAACAAATGATTATCGTTAAGTCGACGTGATAACCATATGTTCGACCACACACCTCGGAACGTTTCATCCGAATTTGACCGAAGATCGCCGACGACAATTGCGCGACCGCTCCTTCTCCGTAAATCCTCATATCACGTTCCCCTCATGCGTGTCTATGTGACATTCTTTTCCGTATAATTCTATACGATTGACGAGATTACGTGCCGTCGATGAATCGCTCGAGATGTTCTCTGGATCTCCGAAGGGGAATATAGATTTCCTCGCCGACGTGCGATATATATTTCTCGGGTGTCACGGAAAATGTCATTAAACTGATGTAAGAGCTCGCGAAGTAAGCGGGGAGCAGAATTTTGAATAACCGCAGATGATCAAGGAGTATCACGGATACTATAAATTAAGGAGAATCTGCGATATCTCGAAGATAAGTAGCGCTCCGGGGAATCGGCTATACTTCATGCGCGAATTTATCGCACATTTCGCGCGTAAGATCGATAATCTCTGAGCGGCGGCGGCAGCGTTTACGCTCACTCGAGATTAGATATCGAGATCCCAAGTATCG